TTAAAGGGAATTCTCACTCTGCTCATTATGAAGCTCAATGTTTTTGAAGACAGGTCACGCTTAGAATTACATTATATATTAGCTCAGTTGGATATATATGATATAGCTGAAGTCCATTGCAAGTTTAGAGAGGTACTCTATAAATTACTTTGAAGTAACCACTAGCTAGGAAGGACTTGGTATCCATAGATAATTGAATATCTGGGGAATAAAGCTGCTGATGTTACTTGTCTCTTTTTTGGATAGCCAGGTTGGGGAATGTTTCGAAATACTTTTATGTACTTGGCTATTGTAAGTTCCGTTAAGAGGAAACAAATAGATTGAAAGGTGAGCATTGATATAATGAGAAGTAACATTATTTCTTTAACACATTAATGGCTTAAATTGTGTACTGGAGAGTGGGATTTATTGGCTGACTGTATAAAATGTTATCTTCAAAGGCAATTTTAGACTATTTGAGCTGTAAAATCACCCTTTTTCCTAGCTTCACATATAGTTTTCTGTTGATTCAGTTGATAACTGTTATAGTTGTATTTCTTTTTTCGAGTAGTGCTTTTATCTCATTACGTTGTTTATCTTCAGAACATATCTTATAAAATCCTTGAACATAAAAACATTGTATCGTTCTGTTTGTTAATAAACTGTCCATTTCATGTTGGTTTCATATACGTTGGTATCTGAATAGAATTACTCAGTCCGTTTGCTAGTAATATATAGACGGATGAGCAGCTTTGAGAGTATGTAGGGTTTGATCAAACCCTGGAGAAGATTTTGAATGAGCTCTCAAAAGCAGCTGAGTGGCCTGAGTTCACAGGGTGTTCTGTTATTGGACTGATTTCATTGGTTGTTGTGTACCTCTTCACAAATATCCAACTGACAAAAACCATCTGCTTCCTATGTTAACTCATTCAATCTCATAATATGTATGTTGACATTCCAATTCACTACCTTAAAGAGCTTCTCCTTCGACGTACCCTCGATGTGTATACTTCAGATTTAATAATCAGATCTACAGGCAGATAGATGATGTGGCAATGGGTTCTCCACTAGGACGATTCATAGCTGACTGTTGCAATGACAAGCCTAGAATACACCAACTTATCATCAACAATCAATGAACTTCATGTCTACAAAAGATGCATTGATGATGCCTTTATACTTTGTGATGAAAATATGAATTTCGCAAACTTGCTTCATACTTTCAACAATGCCCGCCCTTCAACTAATTTCACTCTAGAATTAGAATCGAACTCAACGTTCCACTTGCTTGATGTTCAACTTCAAAGAAAAGACGATAATTCCCTTCCTAGATCGATCTGCAGAAAGCCTACGTGGAACAGACAGTTTAATAATTTCCAAAGTTCAGTCCCTCTATATAGGAAGAGAAATCTTATCCATTCACTTTCCTCGAGGATCAGGAAAACATGTGGTGAGGACACTGTTAACGGAGAACTGCAAAATCTCCAACGAACTCTGGCGAAAAACAGTTTTCCACTCAGATTCATGGATAAGAACATAAAGCCAAAGAACCCAACTGAACGAAGACATTTGGCGCCGAAAAAGATTCTTTGGTTGAATTTTGAATACAAAAGTGATATTGGTGCAGACATCCTCAAGAAATGACTTTCAAAATCCTTAAACAGAACATACTTCGCGCCAACTTTCGAATTATTTTCTCCTGCGAGAAACGTTTTGGTCAATGTGCGACAGACAAGCCGACACATTAGGCCACATAAATGTGTGTATGCTAGTTTACTTGCTCTTATGGAGCTGAGTACATCAGCCATACCATGCGTCCGCCTGTAAAATGTGCCGGCAAACACTACCCAGACTGGCTGGCTAGCTGGCAATGGGAGGACGGAAATCTATTTTCAGTTCAATAACAGAACACCTCGTCAACTCAGGCCACTTAGCTCCTTTTCAGATCGCATTCAAAATTCTTTATGGGGTTCGATCAAACCTCTCTAAGGGAGTAAGATCAAGGCATTTGTCTATAACTGAAGCACGAGCCATCATCGCCGTACCTATTGTGAAAGTTAATTTATCTGGTAAATCTCTTTTATACTACTAGTAGTTAGGTTGGTTTTCATCAGTGTGATTGAGTATTGTCTTTTGTCACACGGTTTCACTGTCTGCATATATGTATAACTTTACAGTCTAAAGGTTCCTATTGATTTTGCAGAAAAATACCCTATTGAGAATCCTACTTTTCATTGAGCATTTTCAATGTTAAATCAGAAACTGAATAACTTCTGCTGCCTATGTTAGCAATAGCCTATAGAGTGAATCAAATTTTTAATGGGTAAAAGTATTGATCAGTTAGTCACGTTAAATACCTGATAGACAGATTGAAAAATACTTAACGCTAGATTACATTTACGGCACTTCAATGACGATATGCATATCCTACATAGTTCAAACTATTTTGGTTAGGTTTTGTTATTGGAATATGAGAAATCAACTATGCCAAAAATTTTGAGGGGGTTGTGGAGATTTAGAAATATTTCAAGTTGTTATTCATCGAAGACTGCCATCAGTTGGAGGAACAAAGGAAACCTGAAGGTCGCGGGTTCGATCCCTGCTGGTTGGGTCGTGGGTGCGCACTGCTGAGGGGTCCCATACTAGGACGAAACAGCTATCCAGTGCTCCCAGGTTTCCTTTGTTCCTCCAACTGATGTCAGTCTTCGATGAATAACAACTTGAAATATTTCCAAATCTCCACAACCCCCTCAAAATTTAGTTGAACTAGGACGAAACAGCTCTCCAGTGCTCCCAGGTTTCCTTTGTTCCTCCAACTGATGTCAGTCTTCGATGAACAACAACTTGAAATATTTCCAAATCTCCACAACCCCCTCAAAATTTAATTGAACTAGTGCTCGTTGGTGACTAGCTTCGAGAAGTATTCCCGAAGTTCCAATGACAAGTCGTGACCGGTGGAGTCAAAGCCTGATGGTCGTGAGGACAAATACTCAACGATGACATTGGGTGGCGGTTTGCGCTATATCGTGAGCTAACAGAAGTTGGAAATATGGAGCATTGGATTCTGACCCAGTGGCTAGCTCAATGGTAACGCGCTGGTCGCGGAACCTGAAGGTCGCGGGTTCGATTCCTGCTGGTGGGGTCGTGGGTGCTCACTGCTGAGGAGTCCCATGCTAGTGGGACGAGACAGCAGCTGTCCAGTGCTCCCAGGTTTCCTTTGTTCCTCCAACTGATGTCAGTCTTCGATGAATAACAACTTGAAATATGCCAAAAATGTCAGACTAATTAGCTTACTTAAAGGTTTCAAGCGTTCAGTCAATCGAAGCATGATTTCTAGTTGATATAACGCGATTTCTACTACTTTTATAGTTTTTACTTACATTTAGGCTAATCTATAACTAAGCTTATTTTCATCACCTTTATCAGTAGGATTTGTGTGATCAATTAGGTTAGTATGGGCTGTTATACTGAATAAATTCATCACCTAACATCTTTATCTCTTACGATTCAAAAAGATATCAATTGATCCAGTTAACCCCCTCATCTTAACTCAATGATGTAAATAAAGATTAGGAACAACCTCCTGATTCAGGCATGTGTATAGTGAAATAAAGCCAAGTGGATAGTTCTTTCCTAGCCCAACTTTAAGAATAAAATGTTATGGACACATTTGATTGAATGAATTGTCTGATTGATATCGTCTCTAATCTGTTGAACCATTCGAAAAGCCTCAGGCAATACTGAGCCATCAGTTAGGGAATTACATCACATCTCAACAGTATTGTAAACGGAGTAAGTATACGGTAACCTATTTTGATTAGATTCTACCATTGTGAATCATCAAAAAGGTTGAACTTAAACTGACCAAGTGCCTGTACAGTCGTTGTGTATTACCAATGGTAAGTAAATAGAGAAAGTCAAAAGTGAAGAATTATTCAGAACAAGAATAAATCAAACGAACAGTTGTTTTCAATAACTTTTTCTTCAGGCTCTACAGTTATAGATCCATGAGAATAAGTGAAGTACAATATCCAAAATAAGGCATGATGTACAATTATTATAGTTAGTGTTATGAGTGAATAGAGATTAAATCGAATGAAATGGTGGGATTGTTATCAGCCTAGTATATTAGTTGTACAATGAAATCAATATTGATAGAACAATTACGAAATGAGGAGACAAAATCTACAGATAATGGTTCTCATTCGACTATCTGAGATAACCGTAGTTTGTCCGACTAGTATTTATACCGGTGGTCGCTGGTTCGAATCCGGCCGAGGTCCAGATTTCCATCTCACCTTCAATCATCACCCAATATAGATAATGATTCAGTTATACACATATTTATTGGTGCATGGATGAATATGTATATGTTCGTTATGTATTGATGAGTTATATTCAAGTGAGATGAAAATCATGTGAATACTATAATGAAGTAGAGAATAACAAAATGTGAAGTGCTACGTCACAGTTGAAAGTGACTACCGATAATGGTATGAATAAAGAAGGGCATAAAACTAATAACATAAGAAAATGAATTTTTATCAATGTAATGACAATATGATAGAAAGCGATGGGAGGTTAAAATATGCAATTTGTAGTAGGTAGATTTATAAATAACGTAACAACACTATTCCTGGCCAAGGTAAACAAAGTGGATGTACATATTTCTTTTGAATACATAGGTACAGTTTTCATCTGTTGATCTCTATGGCTTCGGCCATGGATAAGATGTGAAGTCGTGCAACTTTAAGGAGATGACAATCGACATAGTATATCACAGTAAAGGCATGATCTACCTACCTCGATCGGACGAAGCGATATAACCCTGAGGACGAGATATTATTCCTTCTAGTTTCTCTTTACCGACGCATGTTATCATTTTGTATGATGATGATGTTTTTATACAAACGGATTGATGGATAGATGATTCTGATAACATATTTTACGAATCTTATTTTCAGTATTGTTTTTCCATTCATTTTATTACTCACGCTTATTTTCTTTAACGCATATTTTAGCGTGCTCGAGTTTCTCCATCTCATTTACCTAAAACTATACCAATTAGCCCGATTGGTTCAACTCCTGTGAGTCTGTCGTCTGTATTGTCAAAATCATCGAATTATTCACCTAGTCTAGCTACATCTGCATCAATATTAACTGCTGCAGCACTGAAAAGTGGTGGTAGACGTTATACACCAACTGGGCAATTCTCTTCAAAATATATAAATCATCCTAGTTATATACTTGTTAGTAATCAAAATCTAAAGTTTAATCATATTCAATCATCAAGATCTGAAAGTGCTTATTCACCATCCTATAGCAGTAATACTGGTGGTATTCGAACTGTTCCCATTGGTCGTATATCTGCTGAAACTAAACCAGATAATGTGTCGAGTATTTACAGTCCATTACAGGTATGTTAGTGTTTCACTGATTATCTCCTTATAGATAACTCGTATTCAAATGTTATTATGTTTCTAGTTAGATTCACTGATAGGTTGAATAACAGTATTTACGTTTGGATTGTTGAAAATCATTATGCTAGTCATTTCAATGTATTCATCCTCCTCTGAGGTGTTATTGTATTCTGAATAACGTTGATGACAATCCTGACTTTTTGAATGACCACTTTAGAATTATCACTTTAAAAACTCTTCAGTATTGCAATAACGTTTTCGTTATGATTTTCGAATGGCGTTGAGTAGATGCAACGCAACGTACTCAGGTAACTTGTTCACATTCGTACAGCAGGCAATGAACCACACCCATTTTGTAAATGCTAATGATACTACCTAACTGTCCAAACCTCTATAGGTGTGGTGGGGTTTTAACCTGTGACCCAGTGGTTGATAGTCATCACCTTGAACCACTGAATCACAGCGCTGATTGAAAGTATCGTATGGATGGAATGTAAATTGACTCTGAGTCTTGATACAACATTGTCGAATTTCAGTGCGACATATAGCAGTCGAGGTAGAGTTTTCTGACTAAAGATTTAACTTCGTTGATAATAATAACCAACGTATAACATAAATTTGATCATTTCGTGCAGGAAATTACGACGGAGCGTCGTCGTGATGACGGTTGGTGAAATACAGATCATCCTGATTGATTTCTATCTACTTAAGTTGTTCAGTATTAGTATCTTTCGCTAATTCATGGCACTTTTGTGTCCAAGATCACAAGTTTTCATCTCAGCTGAGTGGTTTCCACAGTTGGGTGGTTAAAAAACTTTTTAATTTGGGGTTTTTTTGTAGATTTAGTAATTCTTTAAGCTGGTACTCACCATGTACTGACATCAATTGGAGGAACATTGGAAACCTGGGAGCACTGAATGGCTGTTTCGTCGTGGTATGCGACTCCTCAGCAGTACTCACCCATTACCCTACTTCACCAGGGACCGAACCCAGGACCTTCAGGTTCTGTGGTCAGTACTTTACCATTGAGCCAGCCACTGGGTCGGAATCCAATGGTCCATATTTCCAACTTATGTCGGTTCATGATATAGCGCAACTTTCACCCAATTTCATTGTTTGCGTTTTTGTCCTCACGGCCACCGGGTGTTGAGGAGTCCCATACTAGAACGAAACAGCTGTCCAGTTATCTCAGGTTTCCAGTATTCCTCCAATTGATGTCAGCCTATAGTGAATACCAACTTGAAAAAAAAGTTAAAAACTACTCAGCTATGAGAAATGACAACATGGTGGACCGGGCAATCTGTAATTCACTTGCAAATTGACGATTCTATGGTCGTGGCATCCTACAAAGTATTAGATACTGATAATCATATAGGATTGATAACCTGATTAGATAAAGCTTTTGAAGGAACAGTGTTGTCCTACTTTTTTGCACCTATATTTGACTAGGCATAATTCTAAAAGTGATTAGATTTAACGGAATGTCTGTTATTGTATCTTGAATAAATTTTTTGCTGAACTGTAATATAGATAGGTTATTGTAGTTTTGATTAGTTATCTTCAGATGGATTAGTTAGGGAGTACTGTAATAAATTTAAGATTTGTAGCGTAGATATTTCAGCCATTATGTTACACTTTAGTATCAAGTTGACCTGTAATTCCTGTGGTACATAAAGCAATTATCGTATCTTCATCATATAGGTGAATTGAAGTAATGCCTAATCTTTAATAGCGTAACTGTGACTCAGTGGTTTGAAGAGATAGTTTCAGCCATTTTGTCAGGGGCTAGAACTCCCTTCCACCTGCTGAGGTTCGGGTAACCGGATAGTTCACTAGTTTTCGTACAACATGTGTTACTCATCGCCTAAAGCGTTGAACATGCACGTGGTTCTCAACCTCGATGAAACTTATGTATCTTCAGAGTACCTAACCTACATTCTACAACGTTTTATTAAAACCTCGACCGTCAGAAATATCTCTCTTTGGAGCAAAGCAGTTCTACCTTATTGACGAGAACCAGAAAGTATTTGGGTTAGGTCAAGCAATGCTTACTGCCTGTTACTTTAACCTATCCAACCCGTAGTAGAAGAGGTGGCTATCAGGCCTAATTTGTCTAGTGGATAACGCCTTAGCGTTTAAAGCGATGGGTATGAGGTTCGAGTCTTGATGGGAACACCATTACTCACTGTAGCACAAGTACATCTAGCTGATGTGTGCCAAATAGGACGAAATGAGCACCCTGGATTTTTTTTAGTAGCGACAACCAAGTAAATTATCGTAATAGATATCCAGGCGTTATCTAGGGATTCGCATAGGAGTGTATATGCCTATAGAGGTCGGACTATTCGATCCAGTATAACAACGGAGTGTTACAAGCGTATCAACAAGTAGTAATCATGATAAATTGTTATTCGATTATCTTCTTTCTTTTTCTTCTCCAACTTTCGTTTGTTTGGTCATATGCACATGCGCACAAACACACGTGAAAAATGTAAGTCGACGACTACAACAACAAGTGAATCATATCCCAACTCACAAGATGAAAGTTATGCAACCACAAGTGGTCGTCATTATCGTATGCAGAAGAAATTATCCTCCTCGAAGTCAAACGATTACGAAATTATCCAGCGATATGAATTAAACAATGAGAATATCAAGTTGGTATCAGTTGGACCACGAAGAACACCTGACTACAACTTATCAAATCCTCTAACACAGAAATCTCCCAATCAGAGTAAATCACCATATACGCAGAATAAAGAAATTAGTGCACCATTCCGAAGTGTTGGTAAGATTTTCAACTGATTCAATGTATTAAATTGTAATGGTCAACCGGAGAAAGGCTTTGAATCGGGTTTTCGTGCTTTTCAGCACTCATCAGTGGGGTATATCTACTGCCACAAGAAAACTGATGTTCTTGTAGTAAACAAAACTTATATCACTCAGTATCGAAGCTGTAAACTTTACGACAATGATATTAAGACCATAACTAACTCTCTGTAGAAGTGCTCGGTCTACACAATTTGCGTTACCCATCCTTGAATAGCCAGTAGTGTTACAGGGTCATTGTGCATGAAGCCAATAGTTGTGTTGCTGTCTGGAAAAGGTTCACATTGCTTACTTTTCTGATTTTTTTCATCTTTAATACATTGTCTGACCTGAATTTAAAATTAACACTTAATTGATACTGTGTGATGATTGAAGGTGAAATGAAAACTTGGACTGTGGCCGGATTCGAACCAGCGACCACTGGGTTTCTGGCCCAATGTTCTACCAACTGAGCTACAAGGTCCAAATTTGAACTGTGGCCGATAGAGCATCAGCCCGCAAACCCAGTGGCCGCTGGTTCGAAAACGGCTACGGTTCAAATTTTCATTTCACCTTCAATCACCACCCAGTATGAACACTAGTCTGCCAAACCACGGCTATCTCAGATAGTCAAAATGATACTTAATTATTGACAGAGAGTCCGTATTTTGCCACTTTTTCAAAATGGTTTGAGGAGTTTAACTTCAAACTCCTTGACAATTTTTGCCTATAGTTTCACTTGTGGTTAGACAAGGGGGCGAATGTAGAAGCCAGCAGTAATGTAAGATAAGTGAGAATTCTTTTTAACAATGAATCCAATTGATATTCAATGAAAGTTGCTTCAGCTATCATATCCAGTCTTTTAGGTCCTTTTATCAAATATGTAGTTCCTACCTTAAATAAAAGTCTTTTTTTTTTACATTACTTCCTGTAAATATTCTATTGAAGTAGATCACTTTGAGTTTGTTGAATTCTTGATAGTTTCGTTTAGGAAATAGATTTTAGCTGAATTTTAAGAGACATATATTTTGTTTATAATCGTTTGGTGTTCTTCGAGTTTTGAGGTTTGTTCTTAGATGTTTCACCATTGAGCTAGACTCCTTCACCAGCATTTTCAAGTTTTATGAATGCTTATGAAAGTATATATGCTGACCATGTGCACTATTGGCTTGTTGGTAGCGGTGACGATTCCCATCTTCTTCTATTAGGCGTTGATATAACTTGACCATTGTCATCGGTCTAATGACTGATTATTGATTTAGTTGGTTGTTCTCCAATTGGTTAATCCCTGTCTTGGCAGGCCATGTATTGACTCAATGTCAGGTGTCTTTTGCTTACCCAACAACAGTTATAAAGACTAACCTCTGATGAAACGGGGAGGAAAGGTCATCTTTTCCCCCAGGCTATTAACTCAAAGTTGGCAAATATCCTTCATAAACATTCATGCAAATTAAATATGCTCCCCTTTTTATGAGGTAAGTATTGATGAAGTTGTCTAGCCTAGTGATGAAACGTTGAAGAACTAACCTTAACGCTTGGGGAAAACCAAACAATAATCATCTTCATCCTGAGCTATAAACCTTATCTACCATCTATACTTTTGTTTTATTTTTCTAAGACTTGCAGAGAATTGGCCCATTGGATTAAGCCCATGATTTCTTACCAGTGCATCATAGATTCAAACTTAGCTTTACCTATTTTAGTCTGCACAGGTACCTGTATAATGAACTTTAAAGTATAAAGTTCTAGTCGATTGCCTAGTACATAAATATCTGTACCGAACTGAGTTACATCATTATTATTATCATTATTCATACGGTTTGTATGATTCATGCAGGCCTTAAAGAGGATACTGAATGCGACTGAACTTGCCATTACGTTAGAGAATCATTTAATTATAGTGATAGATAATATATAATGCGGAATTGACAAAGGATTTATAAACTCAACGATTCACGATGACATTCTCCAAGTTTCTTCAACTGTTCAACTGTTCGAAAATCAAATAGTTTTACTTTTCAACCTTATCGTTTATTCCTTAAGTATTTGCCTTAGAAAATCTATAGAAGAACGCAGTGCCTTGTCTGGATCGCATTAACTTGGCTCTACTGAATCGTTTCCTGCGTTCAGGTCTAAATGCTTGGGTTTTGGTTGTTACATGAACCTTGGTGTAGTTTTTCCTGACCTTTTGTGGGCTGTCCTATTTGGTCTGCCGTAAGGGGCAGCTGCTCGAAAGTACATGCTATTGAAGTCTGAGGATGGTTTCTTTTCATAGCCGCAATTACCGTTTATTATCTCGACTAAGGGAGGTCGCTTACTAAGTAAGAGAGAGTATTCGCGTAGCGGAATCTTCTATCCGTCGATGTTTAACCTTAGAGTCGTGCCAGAGTAAGATCATCGTCCATGTTTGTAGTCTGTTTTCAGGGTGGACTGAGATGCCTTTTTTGACCCAGATGCAGGACGAAAGGCCTTGTGGTCTTCTAGTAAAGTAAGTCTCTACCTCATAGGTTATTATGAAACCTTTAAACCACGCGAACTAAAGCAAAAGCCTCCATCTCTATATTTGCGTATCACTTTCCCGCCTCAGAAGGAGAACTTGAGACATGAATAACAGCCTTTTGATTCTGGTTAGGACATTCATTCAGTAGAACAACACTGGCTCTTGTAGCTGAAGCGCTTCTGCGACTACAATGGGTAGTTTCGGGTAGTAATGTAAAAGTAACAATTCAGAACCGAGGATACTTTTCAGTCAACGATTCACGATGATATTCGTTACAGCTGATTAGTTTCTTCAACTTGTCAACCGTTGGAAAATTAAATAGTTTTACTCATGAACCTTATTGTTTATTCTCTAAGTATTTGCTATAAAACCTGAGATATTTTCTATCATGATTATAAAACCTGCAGAAAATGTTGACTTATTTGAACTTTATTTCCAGTTAAAATAGTTTCGATGAAATTAAAACACTGGAAATTGAAAATGTCATACTGTTCATCGTTCATTATTGATTTCCCTAACTATCATCGTTTAAATGAAAGCTGAGCCTGCGTTTCCTTTCCGTTAAGTGATTAGAAACAATATGAAAAGAAGCCATAAACCTTGGTTTCTTGCTTGTTAATTCACACAGGCAGGGGGAAAAGGTGGACCATCAGAGATCCGAACAAACTTTTGAATGCGCAACATTTTTGACTGAGAGACAGAAGGAGTCCTCGTTGCAGATTACGTTTTAGTTATCCCGAAGTTTTAAACATTATGTTTTTTAAGGTTTATAGGGATTTTACTTTCAAGGTAGTCTTCATTCACGGATTGGTATCAGTTGCGGAACCATTGAAATCCTGGAAACACTGGATACCTGTTACCTTCCTGTATAGGACTTCTCAGGGGTACGCACTCACCGAATTCTAACTCAGTCGTTGAGTGATTAAGACATTTGGCGCGAAATCTGTAGGTTTAGAGTTCCATCTCTGGTGGAATCGTGAAGCAGACTACTGAAGAGTCAAAAACTATGACGAGATAGCTGTCCAGCACTTTTTAATCTTCGATGGTTCTCCAACTGATCTCAGTTTGTGACAATATTTATCTTTTATACTGTCTCCTAAGCGTAGACGTTTTTTTCAGTGAATTTGCCTGAACTCATGACTTAACTCATTTACCTTAGGAAACTGTTTTTATGCCAAGAATCATTGATTATCGCGATTATCGTTTCTTAAAACTTTATAAAATGCATTATCTCAACCTAATCAAGAACTATGTAATGCAAGCGAAGTAAGTATGATGTGCGAGAGTCATTGAAGACGTTTCGTACCAACTCAAGAGAGTGTTTACGCTATCAGAGTTTAACATAATGCTTAGCATTCCGACTATCTGTTGTTTAGCAGACTCGTATTGATGGTTGAGAATGAAATGATAACTTGGGCCACTGCAGGGTTCGAACTATCGACAACCGAGTTTCTGGCTCAGCAGAGGTGTATCAACGGACCTACGAGACCCGATTGCTGACCAGATTATTTTTTTCACCTCAATCACTAAAGGTTTTGCCTGACTGCCATTTGGATTCATAACGCGTCACTATTGCTTGATCGTACTCACGCTGTCTTCCCAGTCAGGACTTCTCATCCCAGTTAAATTCCTCTTGAATTAGAGAGGAGGAGCATCATATTGATTATCTGAGGTAGCTGAGCTAGTCAGTTGGTTACCTGGCCAGAAACTCTGGTAGTCGCTGGTTCGAATCCCGCCGTGGCTCAAATTTCCATTTCACCTTCATCCAGTATCCATATTCTTTAACTTTGATTAAATTTCTACCGATGAATCGATGGCGAATATTTATAGCTTAGATTGGTATGTATTTTTTTAATGCAAATTTTATTTGGATTGTTTTTTCTACAACATTCTAGTTTGCCGTTACATCCTCAAAATCATTTCTTCACAAAGCGTGATTAGTTTCAGTACAAATTCTGAACGTGTATCATGCTATCAGCGTTTTTAACTTATAAAACACCTCTTAAAGGATACTTTTCCACTACATATAATTGCATATAGGTTTTGTTGTTTGTGGGTCATCGTAAAGTTGATAGTCGTATGACATGCCAACAACTACGTTGCATTTTACCTTTCTGAATTTTACAGGAAACTTACATTATTAATTTTGATATTATTGATGAACAATCACTAGCACTGAAATTCAAGACGCGCGTTTCGTCCTGTTCAGGCCTCGTGAGCTGGATATGCCTGCCTCCCAGTGAGCGATATTGTTCCCACCTTGATTCGAACCCGGCGCCGGTCGTTTTAAACGCCAGGATGTTATCCAGTAGGCCACTGTTGCACAGAAAGTGGCTACTGTGACTCGGTGGCCCAGTGGTAACGCTCTGGTGTTTGGAGCGGTTGGTCCTTGGTTCCAGTCCAAATAGGAACGACATCACTCACTGCGGTGCTGCTATATCCAGTTGACGAGTCCCGAATAGGATGAAACGTGCGTCAAGGTAGATTTAACTGCTGGCCACTATACATCAATAATATCGAGACATCTGCTCTAGATTCCATATGCCAATAGAGATCAATCAGTCCATTCTAAACAACGATGGAATAATGCAAGCAACATCACATAACTTCATGTTATAACTTTTAAAATTTCCGAAACTTTATCTTTTGATATGATGATGTTCATAGTTTGATAATAATATTTGGTGCGACTTTAAAGGACACCCTGGCGATGATCGAAATAACCAATCAGACGTCTCCATTTCAGCTGGAAAGACAGAATTTCATAAAATGGATGAATCTAATTGGTTATTTTGATAGTTGCTAGGGTGGCCCTTAAAGTCACTGAGTATTACTAGCTATTCGTGGACTTAAACTTTTCAAGTGGTTCATAGGTGGAAAGATATTAGCTAACAGTCTGATGAAGCTGTGATCCATTGGTCTAAACGTTCGTTTAATAACCACATTTGGCCTACTTTAGTTCAGTTAACTGGAATCTCTCATATTACTGCTCTATGGTTCATAATGTAGTGCTTAGAACTGTTTCAAGATGTTGAATTGGAGTACTTCTTTCAGTTTTAACACGATGATAATAATAAATAATATTTAATTCGCTTGACATATATATATATATATATATATATATATATATATATATATATATATATATATATATATATATTCAAAGTCAGTTATGAAGTTGGAAACCGTTTCTCTGAATAATAGTGCGAAAAAGACCTGCTGTTGAATAGTTTTATTTCTCAATCATCAGCGTTAAGATCACAAGAGTTCAGCGCCTTCACATCTTATTCAGTTTCTATCATATATACTTTATGGTGCGACTCACAGTTTGCTCAATAAACTTGTTTGTATATGAATAGCTATTGAATATCATGTATAGTTTCATTTCATATTACAAAGTTGGCTTGATTTGCACTCCTTTTCACATGTTTCACAGACTATAATGATAAAGTTAAACGAAGACCTTATTTACCAACCCCTTTGACAACATCGATGACCACAGAATCTCCATCGTCTCGTTTAGGTCGATGGACAAGTGAACAAGTTTTATCAGTCAATGTGAATGAGCCATCATCAACAACTAGTTCTGAAATAAGTCTTGAACAACCCTGGCAAAAACGTGAGAAATCTCCTTCAGAATATGATCAGTCACATGGTCGTGTAATAACAACAACACCGAAAGCAAAAGACGATTATCTATGGACTACTCGTACTGCAAAAAGCATCACTTCTTCTGTTGATGGTGTCATCAGTAAACTTGATGGAACATTAGTACCAGCAACTACAACAGCAAAAGAAGTGTGGGCAACTGTAGGAAATAACTATATAGCTGGCACTGATACTGGAAATGCAAACTCCAACCTTCGTATGAATAGATCAATGTATTCTCCTGTCAGTCCAGATCTGTCCACTGGATCACAAGATACAAAATATTCACATACCGTTTTCACATCCTCATCATCACTATCACCAGCTTCTAAACGGATTCAAATTATTCGTGTGCCAGATAATGATAATTACAATAATAATAATATCAATAACATGAATAAAAGTAATATTCATACCAACAGAAGAGATATAACAGATTATCAATCTGGTATTTCTATGAGAATCCCTACTATGAGTCAGTAAAGGTAAGTTGTGTTTGAATGTATGTATGTATTTGTTTAAATAGTTTTTTTTTGCCATATAACCTGGGATATGGAAAAAAAAATTTATTATTTGCGATTTCGGGGCTGTGTAAACCCCTTGAGTTAGTATATACATCCTCTTGTAAACTATTTGGAACACACTCAACCTAAATAATATCTCTGAAGTGCAACGTTATTTACTTTAGTCGATGCAAGAATCAAAACAATAGGGGTGATGACTTCATTGAATTGGCAAACATGACTCAACAATTGATTCACAGGGTAAATGTTTTTTTAGTAAATAGACAGGGAAATCTTTTCCAAGCTCACTGGTTAAGAGATTCGTCTTATTAATCTCAGTACCTGACCTTCATCTCACGAGTTTTGAGTTCGAATCTTCGCCTGCCTCTTTTGACTTGATATTCAGAGAGTTTTATAAACTATAATGTATTGTAACTTATAGTCTAACATATTCGTTATTGCTTCCACGTTTCTGAAGGAGCTCTTGTTCCTATTATTATTATTATTTGTCCCTTGGGTTCCTAATGGAACATAGGGCTTCAGTAGCACGTCTCCAATGCGTCCTGTTCTCTGAAATCCTTTGAACCTGGTTCCACGACTGCACACAAGCTCTCATTTCTTCCTCACACCATCTCCTCCATGTCACCCTCACCTTGGACGCCCAACTCGTCGCTTCCCATGTGGGTTCCACTCGAGTGCCTGGACTGGTGCGTGATGTTCCCGAATAGTCTTCTCAGTGTATGCGCAATCCATCTCCACTTCCTTCTACATATTTGTGGAGTGATTGGTTCTTGGTTGGTTCGTCACCAGCCAGCCAGAGTTCCTTGTTGCTTATTATTTCTGGTCATCTCATCTGAGCTTCAGTAATGAGCGTAGGTGGCAGTTGTTGATGGATGTTTGTAGTTTGTTAAAAATTTCTTTCGTAACCCGCCAAGTCGCTGAGCCATACAGAAACACTGACTTGACTGAATTGGTGTTGAAAATCCGGATCTTGTTCCATATGCTGAGTGCAGAAGATCTCCACACTGATTTCAGGCTAACGAACACCAATCTTGCTATGTTTCCGATCCTGGCTTTGACGTCGTCGTCTGTGCCACCACCTGTAGTTGAAACAGTGCTTCCTAGATAGGTGAAGGAGGCTACTTCCTTTAACTTTCGTTGATGGTGATTGGAGTTTGTTGTTGGTGGTGATGTTGTTGGTTGGGTATCTTCATCACCTCTATCTTTTCTATATTCACTTGAAGTCGCATCTTCGCTGCCCTGTCTCTTCTGTCAGCTTGTTGGACTTTGCCTGTAGATCTACAAGTTTGTGCGACATTTGAAGGTGAACACTCCCAACAAGTTGATGCTATGGCTATGGGAAATCCTTAAGGACTATTACCAGTTGGTGTTTATATGTTATATATCGAAAACCTGGCTGATGGTCTTATAGCTAACGTTACTCTTTACGAGAGATATGTCAACGACATCACAATAATATTTAGGAAGCATGATGATATGGTTTGTTCAAAGAAATTAACACTGTACACAATCATATCAGCTTGACTTATGAGAAAGAGAACAATTATCATCTACTACTTTCTTAGACGTACTCTTGAGACGAAGAGATGAGTCAATAAACCGACCAATCTACAGAAAGCCTGTATGGACAAGTTAATATATGAATTTTCACATTTTATATCCGAAGTCTAATAAAAATGCCTGTTTGTTGGGTGACACATAACATATTTGTACATCACATACAATGGAGGGGGAGGTCAGATTATTAACCAAAATATGCATAAAAGACGAATACTGCTTTGCATTTATTGACTATTATAGAAGTTAGTTAATGCAAAAGATCCACTGTATACGTAGTTCCTGGGAAAACAGTTCATATCACCATACCATATGTGGGGCAACAGCAGACATGCTCACACCGTTACTGCAGAAGGAAGGAAAGGTACCTGCAGATTGGAAGAAGGGCTACCTTGTCAAGCTCCCAAACAAGATCAGGATTTTAAACACCAATGTCAAGTCAGTGCTTCAATTTGATGGTTCAGAAACTTGGCACATCATGAAAACCACTTGCAACAAACTACAGACACTCATCAACAGATGCCATCTACGCTCACTCGATACTGAAGGTCAGATGAGAAGGCCAGAATAATAATAATAATAAGCAAGAAGGAACTCTGGCTGGTTGGCTGGCAACGGACCAACCAACAAAGAACCCATCACCTAACAAATATGCAGACGAAGAAAGTGGAGATGGATAGGATCGGGCATACACTGAGAAGGACGATTGGAGGCGAGGCCAGGCTGTCGAGTGGAATTCAGAGGGGAAACGACTATTTGGGTGTCTGTCCGAGGTGAGGGTGATATGGAGGAGATCATGTGAAGGAGGAAAAAAAGAAGGCTTATTGGCAGTGATGGAGCGGAGTAGAAAAGACTGGACAGAAGAGAGTCCAATGGAGGGGTGCTAGTGAAGCCCTATGTTCCACTAGGAACCCAAAATGATACTAATAATAATGCCATATGTGGGGGGAGTTGAATGCTATAATTTGAGATGAAGGCTAAGATCTGTCGTTTATGAAGAATGTTGTGCGGAACACATGGTTCATCACGAATCTAAGCATTGCACAAATGATTACACCACACTCTACCAGTTTACATGTGTGTGAGTCTGATCATACGTATATTATTATTATTATTATTATTATTATTATTATTATTATTATTAGTCCCTTGGGTTCCTAGTGGAACATAGGGCTTCAGTAGCACGCCTCCAGTGACCTCTGTTCTCTGAGATCTTTTGAACCTGGTCCCACGACAGCCCAGAAGCTCTCATTTCCTGCTCGCACGACCTCCTCCATGTCACCCTCGGACGTCCAACTCGTCGCTTCCCATGGGGATTCCACTCGAGGGCCTGACGCGTGATGTCCTCAGTCGGCCTTCTCAGTGCATGGCCAATCCATCTCCACTTCTTCCTGCATATTTGTTGCGTGATAGGTTCTTGGTTGGTTCGTTCCCAGAGTTCCTTGTTGCTTATTTTTTCTGGCCATCTGATCTTCAGCAGCGAGCGTAAGCAGTTGTTGATGAATGTCTGTAGTTTATTGGAAATACCTTTCGTGACGCGCCAAGTCTCTGAGCCATACAAGAGCACTGACTTGACGTTGGTGTTGAAAATCCGTATCTTGTTCCGCATGCTGAGTGCAGAAGATCTCCACACTGGTTTCAGGCTAATGAAGGCCTGTCTTGCTTTTCCGATTCTGACTTTGACGTCCTCGTCCGTCCCGCCTGTAGTTGAAACAGTGCTTCCTAGATAAGTGAAGGAGGTTACTTCCTTCAAGTTTCTCCCGTTGACAGTGATTGGAGTTTGTTGTTGTTGTTGTTGATGGTGGTGTTCGGTATCTTCATCACTTCTGTCTTCTCTATATTCACCTGAAGTCCCGTCTTCGCTGCCTCTTCTATCAACTTGTTAGTTTTTGCCTGCAGATCTTCAAGTTTATGTGACATTAGGCATAAGTCATCGGCGAAATCCAAGTCTTCTAGGTTCTTTTCCGTCGTCCAGTGTATCCCCCTCTTCTCGCTGCCTACTGTTTGCTGCATGATCCAGTCCACCACAATAAGGAATATCATGGGGGATAGTAGGCAACCTTGTTTCACTCCTGTCTTCACTTCAAAGGCATCACTGAGCTTCCCATTGTGGATTACTTGGCATGTGGCATCTTCATATAGTTGTTGAATGAGGCGGATAAAGGTTTGCGGTACTCCGTAGTATTGAAGCAGTTTCCAAATTACTTCTCGGTCGACGCTGTCAAAGGCCTTCTCAAAGTCGATGAAGTTGAGGTGGAGAGGTGATTGCCATTCTATGCTCTGTTCTATGATGATACGAAGCGTTGCAATTTGGTCTGCACATGATTTGTACTTCCTGAAGCCTGCCTGTTCCGGTCGTAGTTTTGAATCCAGTGCATCCCTTAGCCTCTCCAGGATGATGCGGCTTAATATTTTACTTGGGGTGGACAGGAGAGTGATTCCGCGCCAGTTCTTGCAAGCACTGAGGTCTCCCTTCTTCGGCAGTTTGACAAGGTAACCCTTCTTCCAATCGTCAGGTACCTTCTCTTCCTTCCACACCTTCTGCAATAGTGGTGTGAGCATGTCCGCTGTTGTCTCTGCATCTGTTTTCAGTGCTTCTGGCGGTATTCCATCTGGTCCTGCTGCTTTCCCACATTTCAGTAGCTTTATGGCGTTCAGGACTTCCATTTTCGTTGGGGGATTAATGTTCACTTGTAGTTCAGCGGCTGCAGGTGGTATTTCTGGACGAAGTGCAGGTGGTGGTCGATTCAAGAGCTTCTTGAAGTGGTCGGCCCATCGTTTCCTCTGTTTCTCTTCTTTTGTAATTAAATTTCCTTCTTCATCTTTTATTGGTTTCATCTGTGTTGGTCTCTTCCCTGATAGCAACCTGGTTATTTGATACAATGTCGTCAGGTCTCTCTTACCTGCAGCCTGTTCTGCTTCACTTGCCAGTGTTTCGTAGAAGTGTCTTTTGTCTTTGCGTGCACTCTTCTTCACTTCTTTGTCCAGTGTTTTATACATTGTGCTCAGTTCCTCTTGTCGTTGAGCATCCTTGCACTGGTTTATCTTCTGCTTCACCATCCTCCTCTCCTCTATCAGCTTCCAGGTATCCGTCGAGATCCATTCCTTGTCTTCTTTCTTCTTCCTTCCTAATACTGTTGTGCAGGTTTCTTTCCACATAGCTTTCAAAGACTTCCAGTGTTCTTCCACACAGGTTTCTTCAGGGATGTTGCTCGATGTCTCCCATTTTGTCTTGAAGATCTCCTTTGTAGTTTCATCCTTCAGTTTCCGAGTGTTGTACTTGAATTGAGGTCTATCACCAGCTTCCTTGAAGGCTTTTAACTTGATTTGGAAGGTTCCTTGCACTAGATAGTGGTCTGAACCTACATCTGCTCCTCTTCTTGACCTTGTGTTAAGTAGACTGC